GGGGGGGGGGGGGTCTCTCTGGGGCTGTCCCGCACCCCGATGACGTATCGCACGATGCCGCGCTCCTCGGCCGCCTGCACGGTGCCGCTGTCGGTGGCGTCGCCGTCGGTGACGATGATGAGGACGCGGCGGGCGCCGGGCCGGGAGCCGTTCTCTGCTGTGAAGGTCTGCTCCCTGCGGGGGGGGGGGCCCCGGGGGGGCCCGGGCCCCGGTGGGGGCACATGAAAGCGCCCACAGGGCGACACGTGGAGGCGCGCGGTCACGTGACTGACGGGGCAGTCACGTGACGGGAAGTAACAGGGCGCGGTGCAGGGAGGCGCAGCGTGACAGCGGGGGGAGACAGGCGGTCACGCGGCAGGCGGTCACGTGAGAGGCAGGCGATCACATGACACAACCCCACAAGCAGGTGGTCACATGACAGGAAGCCTGAGACAGGCGGCCGCGGGACAGGCTGCCGGGAGACACAGCGAGCGCGGCGGGGAGGGAGGGGGGGGGGGCCGTCACGTGACAGGAAGTCAGGGGCGAGCGGTCACGTGAGGCGGTCAGGTGACACGCACGCGACGTATCGGATGGCCGTGAAGGTGTCGGTGAAGCCGCCCTGCTGCCGGACGTGGCGCAGCAGCTGCCGGGGCTGCGGCCGCTCCGAGTAATCGCGGAAGGAGAAAACCGGCTCCGGGAAGTCGGAGAACTGCACGGCTGCGAACTGACGGACAGCCGCCCCATAGCGACCCATAGCGCCCCATAGGGACCCCATAGCGACCCCATAGCGACCCCATAGGGACCCCATATTGCCTCATAGAAACACCATAGTGACCCCATAGTGCCCCATAGAAACCCCATAGAGATCCCATAGCGACCCCATGGAGATCCCATAGCGACCCATAGCGACCCCATGGAGATCCCATAGCGACCCACAGAGACCCCATAGAGACCCCATGCAGACACCATAGAGACCCCAGAGAGACCCATAGGGACACCATAACCACCCCAGAGAGACCCCATGTTGCCCCATAGAGACCCACTGAGCCCCACAAGGACCCCACAGAGCCCCCATAGAAGCCTACAGATACCCCATAGGGACCCCACAGAAACCCCATAAGATCCACGGGGACCCCATAGGGACTTATGGAGACCCCACAGGCACCCCACAAGGACCCATAGGGACCCATAGAGACCCCCCAGGGACCCCACAGAAACCCCATAAGGACCCATAGGGACCCATAGAGACCCCCCAGAGACCCCATAAGGATCCGATAGAGACTCATAGGGACCCCCCAGGGACCCATAGAGACCATACAGAAACCCCATAAGGACCCTATAGCAACTCATAGAGACCCCATAGGGACTCATAAGGACCCATAGGGACCCCACAGAAACCTCATAAGGACCCATAGGGACCCCACAGAAACCCTATAAGGCCTCATAGGGACCCCATAGGAACTCATGGAGACCCCACAGAAACCCCATAAGGACCCATAGGGACCCCATAAGGACCCATAGGGACCCCATAAGGACTTATGGAGACCCCACAGGGACCCCTATGGACCCATAGAGACCCCATAGGGACTCATAGGGACCCCGTAAGGACCCATAGGGAGCCCACAGAACCCCCCTAAGGACCCAATAGGGACTCATGGAGACCCCACAGAAACCCCCTTAAGGACCCACAGGGACCCCATAAGGACCCATAGGGACCCCATAGAGCCCCCCTGCCCCACATGCCCCCCCGCTCACCCTGAAGGAGCTGTTGCTCAGCTGCTCCATCACCTCCACCATGAAGTCCCGCATGGCCTCGAACTGTGCTGCCGTCAGGCTGCCAGAGCCGTCAAACAGGAACACCAGGTCCACCATGCTGGGGACGCAGCCTGCGGGGACACGGGGATCCCATAGAGACCCATAGGGACACGTGGGGACCCATAGAGACCCATAGGGACACGTGGATCCCATAGAAACCCATAGGGACACGTGGATCCCATAGAAACCCAT